GCTAGCTATGAATAACATTTCGAATTCCCGAAAGTTTAACTTCAAAGTTACTGTAGTACTAAAACGTGCTAGGCAGTGTCTCTGGACCTGCCAACCGTGAAGCTAGGCAATCCACCGTTTTACGGTACTGTCTGGGAGCTCTCACAAATGCACACTATTGAGGCATTTTTGCTTTTCTGATCTCATCAAAAGACTTAGTCTCAGTTGTTTTTGTTTGTTAACTGCTATTTTTGGCGTTTCGCGAAACGTATGCTTTTCCATCCACACTCTCACCCCTTTCGACAGGAGCCTTGTAACAAGGGGGGGGGGGGTGGCAGCGAGTCACTAACAATTCTATTGCAGAATTTTGGACACATGACAGGAAGGATTCTGACCTGCCCTTACCTGGAAGGCAATTTTAAGAGTTGGACTCAAACATTATTTTTTACAACCCCGAGGTGCGAAGATGTGATGAAGCCAGGTCACCAAAGGCAAGCGCTATTCTCCAAAATGAACTCCCAACCTGTAACCGAATGAGGGCTATGTCATATTAGAGAGTTAGGTGGCACAATAGCTCCAGCTATCAGAGGACATTTACTGAAATCGAACTCGAACGACTACACGCGAATTCACCATCACGTGTCGTGAAGGTAAGCCAGAAAGGCGGTTAACTTCGTGTTTCACCCCAACCTTTATATTCAGGTTATCTCGCACCAACAGTGTGTTTTGGTCCACTTCTCTCAACCACCGCGCAAATCCAAGCGCTGAAAAGTCCAAGTGCGACGGCCGTGGCACATATTTATTCGTACACAAGCTTGCAGCAGTATTCGATCGCCAAGTTGCAAGAGCGCCACTGTGACGACAGATGATAACGGTGACGGGCGGCAGAAAAGCGCACAGCTCCCAGTGCCGGAGCAGCTCTGCGCGGCGCGGCGCCATCGTACATTTGCGCTGCAGCTCAATCTACGCGAGCAGCGGACAAAAACTCAGCTCAACCCGGTCGGGAATCGATTCGTGACGTTGACGATGTCGACGAGAGGACCGCAACAGCCCAATTCAAGCCGAATTCTCGCTGGGCGTTTTCCATTATCAGAGCGCCAACGACGACGACGACACTGCCAACAGCAGTAGCAGCAGCAGCAGCAGCAGCAGCCGCTGGCAGCGCTGTCGTCGACCGATGACGCACAATTGGCGCGGTGCGTCCCTGCTTACGCCAAAAACGCGCGCTCCAAGTGACGAGCGTGATTCGAGGCATTGACGATGTGACGTCGGCGAATGCTCGTACACAGATAAGTTGTGTCGCCAAGGAAAACTTGTCATCCATCCGCATAACACCCACGATTACATGGCTGGCAAGCCAGCCTGGTAACCCAATCAATCGAAGTCGAAACGTGTTTCGATGCTTCATTCAACAGCCGAGAGCAACGGCACAAAGATTACACTTCACTGGACAGTTTGCAGGTCACTTAGTGCAGCAATTGCTGCGGTTTTTCAACGAGGACGTTGTCATGCATCAACATCAGTCTAGCCTACCGTCAGACAAGTTGACTGGTGAGAGCTTGAACATGGTAGCAAAATCAAGGAACAATATCCTAAGCGGTTTACCTACCCCCATCAACTATACCAGCCCCAAAACCTTATGCAATAAGATCACCTCATGAGCTCGCACACGATTACCAGTTAAAGCCTTCATTTTGATGACTACACTGTTGCAGAGCAGATTGCTTAAGTTAAAAAACGTGTTCTTCTTTCTCTCTCAATTCCAGGGAGCGCCATCGCGTTTCAACTACATTTTTTGTTTGATTTCCGAGAAGATGCAAATAAAAGCGGGGGTAAAGGGGAATGTTCAAGTGTTGTACTGTAGTGCTTCTGATGTCATAATTCGAGCACTAACATGTCGTGGACGGAGAAAGAGTTAAGGGAGGAAGATATTGACGTCATCAGCCGGCAAAGTACCCCCTCCCTCGAGCACTTCACCCTTCAAATCCACACTTCAACACCAAATGCGCCGTTGTTCTACTCGCAATTCGCTGAACACATGCCTCCTTCATCGGTCCTTTCGTCTTCCCCATCGACTGCCTAAAACGCGGCAATTTCGCATTGGCCATCGCTATTATGGGCAAGGTCTTTGTTGGCTAACGGCGTAGCTCTACAATTATCACATATTCGCCCATTTCGTTTCCTTTGTTATAGGCGTGACGTCAGCACATCAATGCGAATGAGCTCGTCTGCACGCCGTCAAGCAGTATCCTCTACGATCAGCGCACCAGTGACCAGATAAAGTCAGTCCGGGAGACAGAGGGGGGGGGGGTAGGCGTGAAATGACAGAGAACGACGACGAAAGATAGGGATGAGTTCGTCGCGAGGGTAATCAGAGATCATGCCGACTGACGCAACGCTGCAAAAGCCTTCGGAATGCACTCGAAGGCTATTTTTAGAGTTTTCGGGGTGCTTAAACAAAGTTTTACGATGGGGAAGAAAATGGCGATCAACGTCATTTTGACCGGTCAGACGCGACCACGTAGCGGTCCGTTGTGTCAACGATTTACACGCACACACTCAGACTCTCTCTCTATAGTACGCCAACGGAAGTCCGGCTTGTTCACGTCGACTTGTGTTTCCGCAACTCAAGCCGACGCCGCTGCCGGCGCTGAGACGTTGACCAATCGGTTCGAATTTCGGCATGAGTGCATCGTGACGATGCAACGTTTTATGTTCCATCAGACACATCTAAAACTGCTTTTCAATCGACATTCGCCTTCACCAAAAACAATCCGATGGACACCTTCCCACCAAGTAGCTAAGGACTTATCACACTAAGATCTTTCTCTGGAGGTGAACCTAAGCATGAATTCGGGCGTTTCATATCCGAGTTCTCTATTCTGATGTTTGTTCACGCGTTAGCTGCAGATGGCTGACGGTAGTCAAACAGTGCCCAGTAGACGCAAACGGGAGAAGATCAAAGTGAATAAAAGAAGAGCCCGTTGAACAAATAATAAAATCAACGAACGAAGACGACAACGTGAAGCGACAAGAAAAAAAAACTTGTACTCCGTAGAACAACGGTGGAACGATGGAATGTAAGAAAGAAATTTCAGAAAAAAATAGGAAAAATTTGTTTAGCACAGCACCCGTCTAGCAAGCACTTCCTAAGCAACTTACCAGGATTAATACCGATAATCGTGCCTTTTCCATAGAAACGTGGCACTTTCGGATCGAGCGTATTGAGGAATATTGCAAGGCAAGCAATCCAGAAAGCGGCTAAGCAGGAATAAAAGATGATGTAGAAAATTGTGATTTGACCTGAAAAAAACGTATCTATTGGTAAAATGGTAAAAACGTCATAAAATACCAGATAAATTGAAAAAAAATAATAATAAAAAGTCTCAAAGAATAGAGGAGGAGGAGAAAAGATGAAGAAGTAGCCTGACCAGTTTGCATAGGGGAACCCTGAGTAAGTGTGAGCACGTTCTTCATCCAAGAAGGCAGTCAATTTCCATTTTTCCCGAGTTTTTCAGCCTTTTTTCATCCTCTCGGTCAAACCCTCCTCTACTCCACTATCAGAGGTGAAAATCCACTTACACCACGATTTTGCCGTTCTGCCAAGAACTGTTCCTCTGTCTTTGTTATAAAGAAAGCGCGAGAAAGATTCATCGTAATCAGCTGCCTTGTTGTTACCATTCATCAGCTGAAAACAAAACATTTTTCCTTAAAAGTAAGTCTCGAATTAATCTCGATCATCGATCGAAAACATTTTTTTTCATTTTCATCAGATAAGTTCCGTCTCCTCCGATCAAACAGCGCATATTAGCGACAGCGTCTCGCTCATAAAGCAGATAAGGGCGAGAGCATGCCTGCGCCTTTTTGATGGAACTGAAAATTTCTCGGAGAAATTGTCAAGAATTTCCAAAATAGAGCACCCGCTTTCTTATCGCACTTCACGATAGCTCTGAATAGCGATGCCATTACAAGTTACTAAAAACGTAAATGATTGCGGATATGCAATGCATCGTTGCGGCACATGAACCTAGCACGAGTAGAGATGTGAGATCGATCTCAAATAAACACAATTCTACTTTGTACTATCCCATTACAGGCACTTTAGACAAGATGGGATTGAACGACGGAGCAGTGAAGCCCATATGTGAAGAGCGACATACGCGAGGCACATGAGTTAGTGGCAAGTGGCACTCCTCGGGGTGTGAATATGCAAATGCAGTCGACAGCACGAAATCTAGCTAACACATACAAACACGGCATGGCATCTCTGAGACGAATTCTAGCGACGATTCCACAGTCAGCTTACATGTCATATGGGCCAAAACTAGCGCCATAAATTATTCAAAAGTGGAAGCGACCATGGAACGCGAAAAATGTTTCCTTCCGCCGTGGAAGTGCGACAAGAAGGGACAAAAACAACATTAACATTGCATAGGACGCTTAGAAAAAAAATAACGAAGCACAGCACAGGAGAAAATGACACTCACCGTGGTATTTTCCTCTATCGGATTGCCCTTAGCCATGATGAGATGACGATGATCGTAGATGGAGCGAGATGAGGGAAAAAAGCTGCGAGGAAGAAGTGGAAAAAGAGAGGAGGGAGAAGGACGCTTCGCTCCGGCAGTCTACCCAAACGAGAAACTGATGGCCAGCACACACGGCCGCCTGCCTGCAACAAACATTTCAGCAATATATTTCCATTTGAATTTCTTTTTATCGGGAGCTCTTGACAAGCAAAACAGCGATGATAGAACCAGTGAGATTCGAGAAACACACTAACTTACAGGAAATTTTTGAGGAAATTTATTGAGAATCGAAGAAATTCAGCAATGGGAACTTCTGTTGAGGGACTTCGAGAAACAGAGTGAAAAATTACCAAAATCTGCAAATAAAAAAGCTATGGTAAAGCAAAGCAAGAAAACGAGAAAGTAGATTTTTTCACGGAACATCGAAGGCCATGGGCATCAACCAGTATGAAACTTGCTCAAAACCTCACACTTCTTTGATACAGTATGTATTTTGACTAGTAAATAAAATGACCTGTAACATACAGCCCAGCGATAAAGCAAATTACGAAAATTCATTGCACTACTAAAACAATCGATGCCAGAAAGCGCGAGTGAACATATGTTGTCGGGGGGCCTTCGTCCGGGTGCCACACCCGTGCGACGGGAGATGAGGAAGAAGTCCAGCTTATCGTCGCCCGCCGCCGCGATTTTGCCTTCAGGAAAGCCCAGAATGTCATCTATAGAGTGGATTAAGCACTATCCGTGTATGCTCTTAATGACTGACCCTCGGTCGGTATAGCAGCCCTACGCCTTAGTCATCGCTTCTATAAGAACGCTCAGCCGTGTGTCAAGTACAACGACACATACTTCAATGATAACTCTTAGAGAACTACCCTCCCCCCCACTTTTCGACAAGTAATTTATCGAAAGCCCAGACAAATCGATAGGTAGCCGTTCCGAGCTCAAGAAGCGATGACGCTGGTAGCAGCCGAGCAACTGGCACACATGTCGTTTCCAATTACAATACAGACATGCGGTGATGCCGCGAGCAAACGCATCATCATTAAGTAATGACAACATTTACTTTTTGCCTCATCTTAGTGCAATGATTGACGTAAAACTGCTGGCCAATATACACACCATAAGATACAATAAGACCAACAGACAGAAACACACCTGTACAGACCAACCTACGAATTGATGCTGTACAAAATCGACCTGCGCTTATCAGAAGAGGTGGAGAAAAGGCTCATTAAAACGGCAAATGATAACGGATTAGGGACAAGGGCATTAAACCGCGCCTAAGACTTCACCACGGTCCTCCTTCATACCGTTTCAGACAAAAACTGGAGACACGCAAACGAGGAAGGAGGGAATGGTCAGAAAAATTTCTTTTTGTGGAACAGTTTCCAGGATAGCAGAGCTCAAAAGTTGAAGGAGCAGATACAAAAAATATGCAGTAACAACCAGCTATTATCTTTGTAAACAATTCAACAAAATGAGCGAATACTGTAATTCTGCCTTCACTTGAAAATAATATCTTTTCTTCAGAAGGTGGTCGAATCACTCGCGATCAGACTGATCGGAAATCGGAATTCGGAACGTTGACGAAAACACGACAGGATTTTGAGATCTGTAGATAGCTTTCGCAACTTGGAATGTGAAATACGTAATCTTACTGCTCGCTAGCACTTCCACATTTCAAAGCGTTTATAAACATCATCATCGCTGAACATCATAGATTAGAACATATGCTCTCGAGACAAAAGATCACTGTGCTGTTGAATCGGCTAGCGCTGACTCAACGCAATGAGGCTTTTGCCTCGGAATGGAGGCGGCCATCTGTAGAATGCGTCCATTTCAGAGACGATGCCAAATGTCGACATTACTCGGGTGACGACGTCAACGCTATTGCCCTGGCACGGTAGTTATGCTGTGTCGCGATACAGTTAACCGACTGACGGACCAACGAACGAACTGACAATGGGGCGGAGTGCGAGAGCAGGAGATTGGGTCGAACAAGGCGCAGCATTGCCTCCATCACTATCAGCGCTCACATCTCTATGCATAGAGGCGCAACACTGCCACAACAATTCAAAACACGCAAAAGACATGTCTTGTTAGGCTTCAACAACCCCTACGGCGACCAGAAGCACAATAGTCGAGTAAATTAATGATTTTGTTCCGACTCTAGACATTCTGATGAGCGTTGCAGCACACGGCACGAGAAAGATGGACCCTGGGGCTGAAAACGATAATCAGCGCTGAGAACGAGAGCAAAGCAGCCAAGCGCAACTTAACGCAAGGTCATAGCATTTCTGAAAACAGCAAACGGAGAGGACGACAGGGATTCAATTAAGTAAAGACAGGTGAAATGAGAAATGCTGCTGCTCGTGACTTCCGGCGTTATCCGCTTGTTTTTTTAAAGCCTGAAATCTGCCTCAACAGACATCGCTACAAGCATTCCATCAAGGTGCATCTGCCCGACTGATGTGTGCACACAATGGGTGGTGGGGTAGCAAACGGGGGAGGGGGGAGAGGTGTTGGGTTGCCGGGTAAATAATCGCGTTTCGAAAAGTGGTGAAGGGTGGTGAGATGGGGTGAGCACCATGAGCAATCCACTCAAACACGCAGGCACAGAGTTGCTCAGCCTACGCATATAACTGAAGCCTACTCCGACATAGTTGATGACTGCTCAGCAACGATATCGAATGCTTCAGTTCCCTGCATATAATCGCCATGAAAAACGGCAATAAAAAGGGGTAGGCAATTCGTGCAAGGCGAAAGTGGAGCGGAAAAAATTTTCTTGAAAAGGAGAAATCTAATTTCTATTGAACATTATATATGCGAGCAAATCTTTGATTATTGTCTCCAGAGCAAATAAAAAACCCTGCCGGACACCGCTGACACACTCAAGGGGCACGGCACGGAGGACGGGGGGGGGGGAGTGCTGGGCAGGCGTTCAATGCAATGCATAGAAGGACATAAGCACCAACTGGTCTCCATGCCAATACCGCCGGCAGCTTGCCAGCGCATGGCCCCGACAGCCACTCGTCGTAATGAATAAAAATATTTCCAACGCCTTTGCTGTCGTCGTCGCCTTTTTTCCTCGTACTTCAAGCACGACAATCGATACACCTAAGAAGACAATGAATTACTTTAGACAAAGTCTAACGCCCGTGAATCGCTAAAAGAATGTATGAGAATGAGGGATTAGAGGAATAGAAAAGGGTTATCCCTATGGGTGCATTATCTGAACAATGTGTAGCTCCCTTGCTAAAAATGATCAAAGCCAAATGTCAGCTGGCGCTAGGACAAGCCACAGCTAGTTATGCTCCCAGTTCTGTGTCGAACAGAGGATCAGTGTGAGCTAAAATTAGATTGAGAAAACGGAAATGATCAGGATATGGTCTCGGAGGCCATGAGCACAGTGTAATCACGTACATGTCTTCATAACCAGTTGCCTGAAGACGAACGAAAAACTGGTTCTCCTTTTGATAAAATCAATGTGGCATTTATCAGTTCTACAAATATAAATTGAGAAGATTCAAGAATGTGGTAGGTAAGAAAACGATGACATAATTTAGTTCAGATGACTGAGCCGGAACTAACAACAAAATACAAAAACTGCTTTAGTGGCGCTCTCAGACAGTACGAGCCACATAAAAAGCGCTCTAAAAAGTGCCCTGCACGATGGCAAATGTACGGGAGGCAAACGTAAGCCGACAGGGTCGGCCTACGGGACGGACAGTGCGAAAGTACTCGACAAGTCAAGCACCACACTCATGTTAGTCGTTCGGAATCCACTCAAGATTCGTTCTCTCTCGCACCCGGTGATATTGATCTCACCTTAGATCATACAGCCGCAACACCTCCCATCCTGCTCATTTTTCCAGCTCGTCCAGCTCACTTCAAATTTATTGCACGTTCTGCTTGATCTCAGGACAGGCAGCTCATGATTAGAATTGACGCAAGTGCTGCAGTCTTATCAATTACCACTCATTCGTGGCGCACGCACTTACGTTGGCCATGAAATCGTACCAGGTAACAATTGAGGAGACTGAAGTGTCGTCACTACGCTCTTACACGCATTAGGGCCAGTACAACTTTAATTAAATCATGAAAGGCAATCGCAACTCGGGTAGATCCACACGACAACGATCAAAATGGCCAGGTAGTATAGCGAATGAGTTGGTCGATAGGAGGCGACTAGACACGAGAATATCGCAGCGCGATCGACTTCACTGACAGCGACAACCTTGAAACACAGTGTCAAACGCGATCCAACCACCTCACGACAACACGCCGACAGCACAACGAAAATGCTGTCATGTCGACCATTTTTCCACGGTGAGTCCCACTAGTAACGGTGAAACGCAACAATTTCAGTAACGCACGAAAAACTGCTGAAGCAACCCACCCACACACACCACACCATCCGATGACCTCAGTGATAAGCTGAGAAACTGCTTCGGGTCGAGGATCCGCCCAAGAAGAACCACCTTCACGTGTGCGGCTCGTGCTCATATCTATGATTAGGATGTGCTGTTGGCAGGACACATGGGTGGCAGTTGACAGCCGTGACAATGTGGCGAGACACATCAATGAAGTTTTGGTGGCGATGCGACAAGAATGGCGAACGAGAAGGCGATGAGTGATAACGCTCGACGAACCGACCGGATGTGCGGCAACTCAGGAGAGTCGTAATTCGATTGCGCCTGCCCAATCCACCACTCCATTCCGACCGAGAAGCAATTAGCACGCTGCCAGCAGCACTGGCAGACGGCGGCAACGTCGTCGCCGTGGTCGTCTACGACGACGACGTCAATCGCATGTGAGCGAGCCCGAGGTTCAGTCCGAGTCGAGTCGGAAGTTGTTGATGATGCTATTTCAATGTTGATAATCTCAGCCGCGTGTCATGTCAGAGCGTAGGCAAAAACAAGACATCGGAAATAATATCGTATAATCGCATTAACGAGGAAACAACCGTTACCAAAGTCTTCAGACTCGGAGGAATTTAGCAGGTGCCATTAGCTGATTCCAGCCGCCGGAAGTGGCAAAAACGGTCGATCTTGGGTGATAATCCTTCATGAAAGGGAGCTGGAAAATTTCAACCCAAAATTGTGAATCGCAGGTCTAAGCTAAGTTTCAGCAGCGGGAACATTTGTGGGCCCGAATAAGGGAATGTAATGTCCATGGCAAAGGTGGGACTGCGTCAGAAGAGCGCATTTAGGTGAACAGCAAAGTCGCGAAAGCAATCGAAGCTGAGGAGAACAGCAAATCCATTTCGAATCGAAGCGGGGAGGGACAGCCATACACGACGTCGAGAGTGAATTTCGGGCCACCCCACCCGGAGTTTTCGGCACACACTGAGGAGATGACGAGCGTGCAGTATGCACAACGGTTCATCAAAAATGTGTGAATTAGGCATTTTTCACAAGAACACACCAAATAATCTCAATTCATATACACAAGCGAACGAAAAGTTTCGTAAGGTCAGGGAAAACGTGAATGAACGAATATTTGTGGAAGTGACAAGGTGAGAGAGAGAGTGTAAGAGAGCGAAATGTCTTCGACGTACCGACATACTCTCGTCCCCTCCCCCTCCCCGTACTGTTGCGACAGACTCCAACCCCCCGCGTTGTTAAACCGAATCATAAACATTGACATGGTAGCCAGCCTGCTTTCGCAGAAGCTGTTTATCTTCAACTAGTGATTGGCAGCCAAATCTCGAACACTCACACAACTTACTTACTAGTTTGAAATATTTCTCCAACAAATGCCTATAAGCCATTGTCACGACTGATTACTATAGAAATACTTGTCATGATCAGGGTCGCTAGAGTGAACATAAAAAATGATAAAAAAGAGAAGAACGGAACGAAGGAGAGTGAGGAGACAGGAGGCAAGGGGGGGGGGGCGAGAGGCGGCGTGTAAGCAAAAGCAGCGTATCGATCTGCCGTTAGCGACAACAGCCTCCCTCAGGCCGAAGAGAGAGAGGAGAGAGGTTGATAAAATCGGTGAGTAAAACAACATCTATGTGTGTATATGAAACTCAGCAGTATATCAGTGCTGTTAGAACAGTCGCGATCGCATGCCGATATGTTTCACTGCGGTCTCGAACCACAAAAAAACTCTGTATCGTTTTCGAAATTTCCCGTTTCAAATGTTCACAATCAGAATTCCGCCACAACTATGACCTGAACTCTTCATTGTGGATGGGTAAGACACTACGGGTTAACAAATCCTTTAAAATTTGCTTATTTCATGGGCTACCTGCGTACTGCTGCCGCTTTTCCTCAGACTTGCGTCCGCCTTGACAGCGTATCGAAATTGCATCGCTGAGAAGAGCAAAGAGCACCAACGGAGCCTTTGTAGCCAATTTAATCTCAGATCGAGCAACGTGAAACATACGATGTGGAATCTCGTACAGCACCAGACCACCACCGCAGAAATAACTAGTAGAACTGAAATCATCGACAGCCTTATAACACCTCTTTAGCGCCCATCGAATGGATGAGAGATAATTAAGTGCATGAGATATGCGTCTTGCACTTGGCGCTCCCTAGAAAGGACACCGCCCAACCGTGAAACGCGACATCATCAAACTTGGTCAATGTGGTATCAGTCAATAGAGTAATGAATGAAATCCACTATGAGAATCTGTGTTACTGTGGTAAGAAAATGGACATACAGAAGAAATGGACCGTATGCGATTTGCTCGCAACTCGGATTCAATCAATAAACAACAACTTAATGAAACAATAAAACTCTTTATATCATATCCATGTACATATCCCGTGAGAAACACATTGCAACAAGTACACACAAAGACACTTGCGATGACAAACAATAAAATTCGTTGATGAATGAATGAACGAGGCAAAATGTATGAAAAAGGAAGAACGATGACGATAATGAAGTATAATCATGCCTGTGTAACACAGGCAAACTTAAGTCAAACCGGTGACATGAAGTGAATTTTCTTTCAACACAGAAATATATTTTAAATACAAAATATTTAGGAGAAAACCAAACATGTTCACAAGGACGCGACATAGGATGATTTTCACAACAGTGAAGAGCTAGTTGAGGCGACCCCAACGCAGATAAGATCCCCACGTGCCTTCAGATTCACGACGAGATGTTTCTAAACATTATATTTCAGATTTAAGGTCACAGTTGACGATGAAAATATCGGGTATGCCAAATTCCAGTCAGTTTCGCTACAGTCACTACAGGCAACTAAAACGACTCTTTGGTTCTGGCATGGGCAGTGGGCCGGGGCATCATGCAAAGAACCCCTACAGCCGACACTTCACTTCACATGGCCTGTGTCCTCGAAATAGGGTCTAGGGGAAGGCGATTTAAGCAATTTTTCCTTCTGAAATTCCTCACTTCTAGTCCCGATTCGCACAACGATGCCCCCTCAAACCCGTTATTCCACCTGGAGAGATGAGAATGAGTCGCTAACCGACTACAACTCTCTCCTGCTGCTGTTACATAGTTCGTGCACGCGATGCTTCGACTGGGTGATTTCTTTAAAAGCGATACGTCACATCGCGTAGAAATGTTCCGATAAGACTAAATAATGTATTGTACTTAGTGCACACAGCACCCAGTTCTCCACACACACACATACACACACACACAGACAAAACGCTACTGTTCATTGAACAATTACATTTCCCCCGGACAAACATACATACACAGAAAATAAACAATGTGCCAGTCACCAGCAAATCAGAGTAGACAAATCCCATGAGTAAACGTTGTTAACGCTATTCTCCCTCACATGATTACCCATTATCAACAACATCCGGTTGCTTCTCGTGAGATGAAAAAATAATAGTCAAACTAATCAAATGCTGCTTCTTCTTGTGGCCCCCTTGACTGATACAATCACTGTACTGGCAGCAATTTCTTATGACCGGTCAGAACTATGTAGTAACGTTTACGACCTCGTCAGAGCAACTATGAATAGAATCTGATAGCTTTGCAAGGGTTAAAAAAATATTCTCAACTTAATAGACCGTAAAACGCGCCAATTTCAGAAGAAACTGTTCGCTCTTGTGGCACACATGACAAGATAAGGCTAGCACGTTTGATAATTTGAACTTGACTGTTACACGGCACATTTGAAGATAACACTGACGACTACAGTTTTGGCGTCCAGACCTAGTAAACTTTACGTTGCCCTGAAAAAAGCTATGGATAACTCACCATCTTGAGCAGCGATGCGATTGAGACGTTCAGTTTCCTCAGGAGAAAGGCGAAGCATGGTAGTCAGAATGGGAACCAACTGCATACGTTCTCCAGACACTCGCTCCGGACAGAGAAACTGAAGCAATGACTATGACATCGGAAATCACCTCTTCGTTCTCTGACTTATACGCATAATTCTTTGGCAAGTCAATCTGTCATCTTTAAAGCGTCACTCTGACAGAAGTCATCCATAACGGGCATTTAGCAGGAGTCGGGGCAGAATTTAACAAATTGACGACAGTATGGCGCGCATGCGCGTCAGATTTTCACACAAGTGGTCATTGTTTTGCCCAATTTACTTGATATTTTTTCATGTGAGAAAGCAGACCGTTTACTTATCGAGTACTGAAATCTTGCATGCACTACCAGTAACGAAATTATTGAAGGGGTAGCACTAATTTTGGAAAAAAAAACTCTAGAAAAAGCCGAGAAAAATCCATTACGGGCAGTCCTCCAAGTTTTAAGAGAGGAGCAATGTTTGTGAAGTAATTTAGGCTCAAAGATAGTAGGAGGTCGACCTGGGAAGCTCCGATTGGCGCAGAAATGCTGCGGAAGTAATACAGAACACTTAGGGAAGTGATGATTCGGTAATGGTATTCGGTATTTATTCGAGTTTAATTCAGCACAAATCCTCATTTAGGTTCATCTGATAGTTTTTCACGCCTTTAGCTATCGGTAGCCACCTCAGAACCAACAACAAACAATTAATTACCTTGATAATAACATTCTTCAAGTATTCGCTGTTCTCAATGTGACTCAAACGTTCCTCATTTCTTTCCATACGACGAATTTCCTCCTTCAGAAGCAGACTCTAGAATGATGCTAATTACAAGGAATCTCCACGGAATTAACGACACTGAAAGACAAGCAGCAATGCAATGCCACTCCTTTCTTCCCATTTCTGAGACCTGCGCTTAACTTGAAGGGGCATTTACTGGGAACCTATAGTGTTAAGTTTCGTGCCAGCTAAGTAAAGCTACAACTGCCAACACGACTGCTGAACACACACATACACACATACTCCACGGAAAAAGCATGTTTTGCAAAGCTGCATCAATATTTATAGACAGCGAGGCATCATTACACCTCATCACCTTCCTTTTAAAATTTCTGCTTTTCATTACTCTAGGCAAATAACACCACTGGAAAACTGCCAGATAAATGTGTATCAAAAGTTATACATTGTACATGGCCGCTTTAACCCTTTGACGACCGTGTGGCCCGCCGGTGGGCCACACTTTCGCTCGGTGGCGACACGTTTTTAGGGGTTTATTTTGGCATTTTTTATGTTTCAAAACTACACAAATACATTATCGAATTCGCGGAATAATGCGCTAATTACTAATAGTGAAATTGTTGGAGAGTTAATGATTATTGATGAAAAAATTTAGAAAGAAGTGAAGTGACGCATTCATAACGGCGGTCGTCAAAGGGTTAATAAATGAACAAGTTTCCGTAAGTCCTAGGAAAGAACTCACCTGAGCAACCAGCGTTGCATTCGTTGCCTCAGAATCACTCAACAGCTCACGAGTATGTTGCAGATTCTTGGTAAGCCGTTCATTTTGTTCCATAAGCTAAGCATAAGCATGCACAGACTTCACACCACTGTCATCACCGAAATGTGATGTGGTGTCAGGAATTTCGTCACCGAAAAGCACGTCTTCCAAAGTGCGCTCATGCTGAAATCGTAACTATTATTTTACTACGATTTTACCGGCGCAAAATGAGGTCTGCGATGAAAGCCGCACGAAGTGGTTTCATTGAGGACACAAATAAGGTAACGTGGCCAATGTCGATCAATACCAAGGATACGCCACGCCTTTACCTTATGCTCGAGATGCTGATGTGTTTGAATGTGAACTTGGTCTAAAGAAGAACCTGCAGGGCCCTTAGCTCACCATTTCAGGGATCGACACAGACAAACAGTAACTGCTATTCAAAGAAGGCAGAGTCGACCTAGATGGGGTAATCCACGAAGTTTAGCGCACATCTACTCTACTCTTTAGTGATTTCATAAGAGCCAAATGTGTGGCATAGCGTCTTTCAACCAGCAGTGAGTACCATGTTTTTTTCAGAATGGCTTGAACAAGCACTGCGCAACTATGTGCATACAAATTACGAAGTTATTACGAGTGGAGTTCTCGTCTTTTGACGCAACAAAGATGTCGCTCAGTGTCCCACAGTTGATGAATTTATGTTTTCTACAAATGCACTTAAAATCTATTTCACTTTCAAAACCAGCAGAAGAAATAAAAAATTTTAAAATGTACACAATTTAACTGAAGAAATAAGGCCTAGTCTTCAGAGAGGACAATGTAACTGAGGGGTTAGTCTACCCCTGGTACCTTGGAATACCTTTCAAGTACTCTTCCAAGGTACTTCATCTATGTACATATTCACCACACTCCCGTATACATCACCTACAAGGGAGGTCGTTCAGGGTGTGCCAAGCTTTTTCAAAATGACTGAACGGCTCTCTGAATACCAGAAAAGTGGCCCCTAGTTCGATTCCTCGTGGTGACAAGTTCTTGCATTTCGTGTTGAAGTTTAAATATTCGCGCAAAATGGAGTTAGCATGAATGAATAATTAGTACCAAATTCATGATTAGGAACGTCAGTAACCCTTACAAATAGACTTTGATTGAAAAACTGGTGAAAAAGGTGTGACTAGGGACCCCCTTTTCTGGTATTCAGAGGGCCGTTCAGGAAAAATTAACCATGGTTCTGTGGTTCCCGCATGTGCCCCTATATCATGCAAAAGACCGTTTTGAAAAAGCTTGGCACACCCTGAAAGACCTTCCTTGTTATCTCATCTGAACACCATTTCCATTTCCAGTGATGGTTTTCAACTGTTAACATTTTGAAAAAAGAAAAACGACCCACTGAAAACTTGCTAAAATTTAGGAATAGACATAAACGTAGTTCAAAATGTTTCTGTCGAATCGATAAGTTTAGCACCTTAGCCCAAGCCTGTAGTAGTGACTGCAGCTGCTACAAAGACAAGCACTGTACTTTCTGAAGAACTAGTGCGATAGGTGTCTTCAATAGCCAGTCACTTTAGTCCCTCAGAACTTTCATTTCAATTCATATATTAAAAAACAACACAAAAAAGGACCAAGTTAACTTCGAATAATCAAAAGATCATTCGGGAATGCACTATTCTGGTTCGTAATGTGACAATAAACTTTGTTGTTCAGTGTACGATTCATAAATCTCGTGGTCGTGTTCGCTCTCTGATTTGGTAGCCCCTGCCCAATCAGCTGATTTATCAAGGACGGATCAAATTCGGAGCGATGGAGAAAGAGTGGGCCGATCGCTGCCCAGAAATCTGTCTAGTATAAATACGATTCATGTATTACACATAGCTGCCAGAATCCTTGGTCCAAAAAAGACTTTACCTTATTTTCAAAGTAGGATAAACGATAGAAATGATCCTCGCAGTAATCACGTCACTATGAGCAAGAGCAATTTAGCGACCCACCATCCCAGAAAACTGGTAAATTTTGAAGGCTATTCAAAAGATAGAAGCCGATTGGGATCACTGATGAGCAAAAGGTATAGCTCGATCATCGAAAAACTATAAGGGCTTCAAATCATGCTACTTTAACTTTGATCGACAGGAGTTACTGTAGTTTTAGAGTTCCATAGTGATCGAACGACAGTTTTCCTTCATAAATAACTCGATGGCAATCATTCGTGCACTATTTTCTTAAGAATGTCTGCAACCCAAGTTATTTTAATGTATAGTGGCAATCATGTAATCAATCTAGAACATTCTCTAGTCGGGCGGCGCACAATTTTTATAGCCTTACCCTGTCCCATAATCGCAAATACCGGTTTTCTCAAAAATAAATCAGATAACCGATAACCGCCGTAATATTCATAACATATGATCTTCTGAACAAGTTTACCATCCATCACCCGTATGGAGCCCAAGGAGGCTAGCTTATTTACAAATAATCAAAACTGCTGCATTTCCCTTGCAGGCTCCCAGGCAAATCAGATTTTTCTTATTAGACCTTAGTTGTGAAAAAAAACAAAGCAGTCAATACAGGATAATGCTTAAATTTGCGTCGATACCGCTCTGAAATGCGCCAAGTATTCCCTTGGAAATTTCATTCAGAATCATGCTTATGGTTTAATGCGGTTCGGTTATAATGACTCGCGGGGCCAATCCAATGCACAAACCACCGTTTTCATCCTCCCTGGCTCCCTCAAGTCAAATCCTCAATTTTGAAAAAAAGCATACATATAAAAAAAGGAAAGTTTTACAAAAAAAGATTTTCTGATAGGTAACACAGACCAAGTAAGCACCAAATGAGAAAAAAAAATTTGCGTGCACTGAGGGCTTTTCTAAATATAGTCCTGCTGTCAAAAGCATGAATTAAATTTTCATCTGTTTCATTAGTAACGGCAGGTATCAAGAAAATGACGACACCTACTCCAGTTGTGTTGAGTGGCTCTTCTCTTTCATTGACTATGTATGAGTCAGCATACCTCTGCCGGTTGAACTAATAGTAATTGGAATTTTGACCTCAGCAAGCATAAAATTGTAAATTAGCTAGCACATAAGAAACAAAGTGACGTAATCCACTTCTGTGCACTTCTGTGCACTGCACTGACCGTTCATGAAACGAATTCCTCACCAAACATTCCCTTTTTTTTAAGATCAACTGATCAATGCCAGGGTCAAATTGTAATCCTGAAAATTCGATAACTTTTAGCCCTGCGAGTCAAAATATTCATAAGTACAAGAATCAAAAACCCGTTCAAATGTTCCTGCAATTCCATGTACGACTACAATACATGGCGCATTCCAAAACGATTGATCAGCGCAGGTCCGTTCTTTTAGTTTTTATGTAATCGGAATTTTTTTTGTAAAACAAAGACATGCTGAATCTATTTCAGAACATGTAATGAAAGTCATCCCGTCATAAAAGCTATCGGACGAAAAGGTCAGATGTTGTGATGAGTAATAGAATACAGCAAAACGTCTATTAATATCGTGCTTAGTTTATTCTGCATGAAGTGGGCCGATATTTCTTTGAGCGTCATCAACGCGCAACACAGACGTCAATGGCCTCATTGCGCAGCCAGCGACCAAATAGTGCCCCCAAGTTTATTTTTCGACTTAATAAACGAAGTCTATGCCAAGGTATTACCCTTGAAGGTTCAGAAACAGACGTTGCGGAAGTGTAATTCACGTGACCTCAACTATACAGGCCCTAAAACATCCTAAAACCTAGTAGGCCCTAAAACATAAGAACGGTGATTGTACAGTTTCCCAAGAGACAGGTCGGCAATGTGCTTCTTATCGTAGAGAAAATTCTACGCCATCATCGGTTGGGTCTCAAGCTCTACCGAAAGAAGGGTTGATAATCCCTTGAGAGGTTTCTTAGGAATGTGGTGCATTTAGTGGGGCAATTTCATGCATAAAAGATGACCTAATGCAAATTTCAAAATGAGCCCACAAACCAAGCGTCATGACAACTTGGAATGTTGAAAAGATCATACATCAACCCACACTCATCATGGCTTACATACATACCCTCCCGTTCTCTGAGCTTGAGACAGGTGGACAAGCGAGAGGTTCACTGTGGTTACTATGTTAATGAAGTATCGCTTCCTTCGCACTTTTATTCTGAATCAAGGTTTGTCTGCAAGTTACAGGTGAAACTGGAGGCAAGGAAAGAGGAAGCCCCCACCCCCTTGTGCTCCACAATACTAAGGTTAGGAAGAAGAGGCTCATGACTTGTTTAAAATATAAATACAGCTGTAGCATGTAGCTCCTGAGCAGCTCTCACAATCAGTCTGAAATGGACCGAATCGAAGAAATGACATCTTCGCCTGGACCTAAGGATGGAGGAGCTCAAGGGTGGATGACCAACTGCAAAAAAGTAAATGTGAGATGTTGGACATTCACCGATTCTTGTCGGAAGTACACTCAAATAGTTGATTACGTATAATGTTATCCTTAGTGTTGGAGAGACCAAGCGGAGTGCCTTCTTGCACTAAGAACAACATAACAAGCAGTCCTCTTTCCCTCCACAATCTCCATTTTCACCCAAGTTATCTTTGAAACTTATTACTCATGAGTCATATTAGCCGCAGCCTCGAGCAGCGGGATGATGCAGAGTCTCAACATCGAATCTAGCCGCTACGAAGTTTTTGATTTTAGTTGCCTTGAAACTTGTGGAGGAACGGTCTGCCAGGAATGTCACCGTATAAGATTTCCAAGGACTAATATTCATCAGTGCTCGTATGTCTTTATGCATAGAGAACAATGAACCCAAATTCACATCACAACCGTCTGTACCATTAGCCTTATACACGATGACGCACTGAAGTCGCTTGTCCACACATCCTACGAATTCCAATCGTGGATATTTGCAGTGTTTCAACGAGAGGCATGGCCTATGGGTTTTGAAAAAAACTTTTGCTACGGTAGAATGGAATTTTTATATCAAAAGGAGTGGCTTTACGGATTTCATGGGAGGATGAATGAATAATCACGCCACTACGCAAACATTTGCTGGTCCCAGTGAAAAGCAAACATTGAGAGCAAAAGTGC